AAGACGAGAATATTAAAGAAGAAAAAGATGAAGAACTTGAATTTCCCAAAAGATTACTAAAAATCACCCTTGGAGAGGGTTGATTTTAACACTAGATGGTGTTAGAATGGATAAAAAATGGATGATGAAAATGGAACCCCAAACCCTCCTTTTATACCCAAAGGAGGCACTAAAAGACAAAAATTATTAAACTTGGAGGTTAAGCATCCTAAGTTAAGTTACAAAGTAACAAAAGAGTAACTAAAAGTACATTAGCCTAACCAAAGTCTTAACTACAAATTTTTAACCAAAAACTTAGCTTTTACAGCTGTCTTCCGTTAGCACAAAAAGACAGCATCTTAATCATTAAGCCCTCCAAAAAGCTGCACATTCATCAGATCGCCGCTGCACCAATGTTGTAGCATCCTGTTGTTTTCACAAAAACTCTCTATTAGCATCTTCTATGACTACCAACAAGTCAACTACAATATTTAGCTTCATAATAACAAATGTATAAAGAAATAAATAAAAAATGACTCAAAGTGGGAATGAAAAGAAACTATTTTAACAAATAATACATAAAACGAGTGCTTTATATGTTGAATTCTCAACATACATCAATTGCGTTGAAACTTTTATACATTATTTGATACATCATATTTTTAACTTCATTAAGTTTAAACATTCAAGAACATCACATAACAAATATGTTTGGTAATTGCTAATGGTCGCTTTAGTAATTGTTATGGTTGCTTATGGTTAGTAATTATCCAAACTCTATGCTACTTTATGCTATTGTTTATTTATCCATTTGCAAAGGCTTTCTAAACTTTATGTTACTTTATACTTTAAAATTATTTGGATTAGGTGTGGAATTAGTTGGTGAATCTTTGCACCAAAAGAAACATAGGATTACATGGAAAAACTAAGGGTTGGTCTACACATTTCTTGAAGTTTGTATACACGAGACAATTTAAAATGGACGAGAAGGCTAAAGTCACAGTCGTGGAAGAATGTTGGAGAAGAATTGAAAAGGAAACATAACATTATCGTGGACCAACGATAAATAGAATCTCACTACGATTACCTAAAGGGAAAATACGCAACATAGTCTAAATTGAAAAACAAAAAGGGGAATGTCTACGATCCATCAACCAACACCTTCAATCTATCCAATGAAGAATGGAAGATAGAAATTTCGATCACTTTCTTTCTTATTCTTTACATAATTAATTTTTATAATGTATTTATTTATATGGATATATTTTTTCTTAAAACAACAAAGTAAATACATGGAACCATTGAAAAGTATCAGACTGCTATACCCTAAACTCTATGTGCAACTATTTGATGGGGTTGCTAGTGTTGGGCTTGAGAGTTATGGAACAACATCTATAATTCTTGATCCGTATGACTCTGATCCCAGCTTGAATGAAGATATACCTGACACACAAGAAACCGGTGGATCACCCTCAAATCAAGAAACTGGGGGGCCACCCTTAACTCAAGAGTGTTCTTCTCGCCTTTCGATACAAAGCAAAAGCGGAAAGCTAAAGAAATATGTACTTCAAAAAAACGAAAGTTGAAGAAACTATTTTGAAGGTTATGAATGTTATGCTAGAGAAGCATGGAGCACCAAAAGATGATATTGATGATTGCTTGAAGAAGTTAGAGGAACTTGGATGGGGTGCACCATTTCATGATGTAACACTATTTGTTTTAGCCGAAAACGCCGACTATAGGAAAATGTGGATGCG